GGCGACAAGAGGAGAGTGCGGGACAACATGTATGTGCCGATGATATTAGGCGGACAGGCCTTCAAGACTAAGGAGGAGCTGATGATCGAGAGGGCGGTCGAGAGCTGTGCCTTCAAGACGGGCTTGAGTTGTGTGATGGGCTTCGGGTTGGGCGCCGCCATCGGACTCTTCTCGGCCAGTGTTGGCCCAGACATCACTTCAGTGGAACCGCAGACACAGACTGTGCGACAAGTGCTCAAAGACATGAGGATTAAGACCATGTCTTACGCCAAGAACTTTGCCATTTTGGGCGCTATGTTCGCGGCCACCGAATGCACCATTGAATCGGTATCTCATGAGTGACTCACTGTTTGCCATGAATTGTGTACTCAATTGTCATGTGTTTGGCGCACAGTATAGGGGAAAGACTGACTGGAAGAACGGCACAATGGCTGGAGGGGTGGTCGGAGGGCTCATCGGTCTCAGGGGTAGGTATTCCTCGTGTGTGTAATGTTTAGCAGTTATAATACAGTGAACGCCACTCTTATAGCGGGCATCAAAGGGGGTCTCTTAGGCGCCGCCGGTTTCGCCGCCTTCTCCACAATCATTGACTACTATTTGCGCTGAGAATTAGTTTTGGCTTTAAATTAATGGCATTTTATAGCGTTTTATAATAATGTAATGTTTTCGTGATTTCTGTAAATAGTGTGTAATAAAGAAATAAAAGTCTATTTTTAACAAATTATCAAACTTTAGAGTACGAAAGAGTTACAATTTATAACTTTTTAAAAAAGTATTTCATTTATTGAGCAATAATTATCATTACCAGTCATAACAGTCATAAATACTAACATTTCTATTTGCTTTACAATCAACAACAAGATTACCCAATATGTGATTATAACAGTTATAATATAAATTCATAACAAATAAACCCTAATATTTTAATAGAACAGTCATTATAAATTATAATTAACTAAATTTAAATCCCGTAAAATATTATCATCAAAGTGTGGCCAACTTTTGCATTACAAAAACATTTGATAAATTGCACTTTGATTGCATTGAATGCAAAATTGTATGGTTCACGTAATAAAGGCTTGAATGACTAATTGTAATAAAATGCCGGTAAAACCAAAGGCACGTTAAGCACGAAGGAAATAGACACTCGAGTGAGCGTCTGATTACAAACTTATTGAGAAACTCGACGTTTTGAGCGATTTTGAAGGACTGACTCTATTTTGGTTTTACGATTTTCATACTTTTGTTTCATTAGAGCCACGCTCACCGGTTTGGGCATATCTGGCACTACATATGATATTACCAGAATCAGTCCTAATATGATATGCTGTCAACAAATAATTCAATAAATAGTCACAAATTAAAGGCACACTTCAATTAAGTCAAACCTCTGAAGCAACCATTAGATCGAAAGTATTGAATTGAAATGTTTGAGCGATTGATAAGACGGTGGGAGACATACTTAGAAGCGCACAGTTTGTCATCACAGATATGATACCCATTACTTCAAATGCTTTCTGTAAATGAATAAAAATTTAATTTAATTTAAGATCTATTTGATGGGTGTGTTTGCCACCATACCATCCACGAGCCGCTTATACTTTTAGCTGATCTCTGATGTGGTCTCTTGTGTCCGAAACACAGTTTTAGAGAATCGGAACGAATTTCGACACAATTATTGCAAAATGCAATGATTGGCGCCATTGGGAAGATTGACAGAAACAGAAACACATAACCAAATTGTATGTAAAGCTCTAAATAGTCATAATAAGTGCCCTGATAGTAGGAATATGTGATTATATAATTGGTATTAAATGTATACAAGAAAATTTGTCAATTATTTCAAACCTCATACGGAGGCAATTGTTTTTCATAATTAATTCTTGCGATTGTCGGCAATAAATCAGACTTTTTTCTGTTCATTTCAAAATTCTTATACAGTCTATAAGTTTTAATAAGAGGATATATAACCTCTAGAATATTATCGACCAATTGGTTGACAATAAGCATTGTTCCCAATTGCTGTCAAAAGAGTAATCATGTAATAAAGTTTATGACGCTATTATATCGGTAAATGCAAAACACTAACCCATTTCAACATTTGTAAATCTTTCAGATAGAATGCAATGTAGAAAAGGCTCATAAAGTTGTTCACGAATTCAAACTTAGTTTTT